TGGATGACCAGTTGGCGGCCGTGACCAGGGGAGCGTTTTATCAGGTTCGCCTGATTCACCAGTTGCGGCCGTTTCTGGACCGGGACGCCTTACGCACGGTCACTCATGCCCTTGTCACTTCCCGTCTGGACTACTGCAATGCTCTCTACATGGGGCTCCCCTTGAGGAGCACCCGGAGGCTCCAGCTAGTTCAAAATGCGGCCGCGCGGGCGGTGTTGGGAGGGACTCGTCGCTCCCACGTTACGCCGCTTTTGCGCGAGCTGCATTGGCTGCCGGTAGCCTTCCGGGTGCGCTTCAAGGTGCTGACTATGATCTTTAAAGCGCTCCATGGCATCGGACCTGGCTATCTTCGAGACCGCCTCCTGCCACAGATTACCTCCCACCAACCTGTACGCTCCCACAGAGTGGGTCTCCTCCGGGTGCCGTCAGCCAGACAGTGCCGGCTGGCGACCCCAAGGGGTAGGGCCTTCTCTGTGGGAGCTCCCACCCTCTGGAACGAACTGCCCCCAGAGATCAGGGTGATCCCTGATCTCCCTTCCTTCCGCCGCGCCCTCAAGACATGGTTGTTCCAGCTCGCGAGACTGGCCTAAGGGATTTTAAAGGGGTTTTAATTACTTTTAAATTGGACGCATTTAAATATTTCTTTTTAATTGATTTTTAATTAGATGTATAACATGTTAGCATTTTATCTATTGTCAGCCGCCCTGAGTCCGCAAGGAGAAGGGCGGGATATAAATGTAATTAAATAAATAAATAAATAAATAAATAAGAGTCATTTTGTATTCTTTGGGATTTGGCAGCCCAAATCTGGAAGTCTCACAATTTAGTAAAAGTAGCACAGGAAACTATTCTTGCTGACAAATATAAACAAGTCCCCATAGTTTGCAAATCAAAGCAGGTCCTTAAAAAACTGGGCTTAGATATTAAGCTAGGCTCTAGCTGCTTTAAAGGTGGTGGAGTATGTATCACTGAGCTACTCTGTTACAATCAATGAGCCTAGATAGGAACATGAAGACAGGGGCTGCTGGTAGATTAAATGTTAACTCATGAGAAGCTGATAAAGAGATAATTGAATTTTGTGGAGGATAGCCTGAGCAGGAATAAAAAGATTCCCCTGAATTCCATAGTTGTACAAACAAATGAGCACATGAAACAATGAAGCTTAAGTAGTGTCACCCTGAAAAGTAAACCTGGACTTTCTAACTATAGGGTCTCCTGCTTGAGCAGGGGGTTGGAATAGATGCCCTCCAAGATCCCTTCCAACTGTTATTCTCTCATTTTCAGAGCACTGTCTTCTAACCACTGTACTAGCACGGCTCCAGCATCCTGGAATTATGTGATTTGCCATCTTCCCAGCTATTTCTGATGAGCACAGTCCATTGGGGAAGTCAGATGTACTTAACACAGGAGTCTTCAAACTTGGCAACTTTAAGACTTGTGTACTCCAACTCCCAAAATTCTGGGAGTTGAAGTCCACAAGTTTTAAAGTTGCCAAGTTTGAAGACCCCTGGCTTAACGACTATATGATTCATTTAACTGCAGTGATTCGTGTAACAACCACAGTTTTAAAAAAAGTTGTAAGATTGGATGCAACTCATTGAACAACCATCCTATTTAGCAATCAAAATTCTGGTCTCAATTATGGTTGCAACTCAAGAATTACCTGTAGTGTCTAGTTCTGTCATATGATGCAAATTGTGTATTAACTCTTCTTGTTAATTGTGTATTAACCCTAACCCTAACCCAAACCTGTCAAACGGAAGGGTCTCTGATTGAACCTAAAACTAAGGAGAAATTTCCTAACAGTGAGAACAATCAACGCCTTGCCTTCAGAAGTTGTCAGCTTTTGATCGCTGGAGGTTTTTAAGAAGAGAGTGGACGGCCACCTGTCCGAAATGGTACAGGATCTCCTTGCTTGAGCAGGGAGCTGGACTAGAAGACCTCCAAGGTCCCTTCCAAGTTTGCTATTCTATTATTCTGTATTCACGGAACATGCCGACCCCCAATAATGATTCTTATGTTTATATTTAGAGAGTTGTGTGAATTCTCTCTCGGTGGTTTTAAACCACAGCTTACAGAACAAGGTAAATCCAGCCAATAGTGATTTATTCAGTTAGCCTTGGTTAAGCACAGACGGCTTAGTATACTATGTTTCATTCTGTTCATTGAAGTTTCTTTCTCTATATGTAACTCCTTCTGGTTCTCTCTTTCCTCAATTTGTATATATATCTGCAATGGAATAAACCAGGGGTCCTCAACCCATGATCTGTGGACCGGTACCGGGCTGCATGTCAGCAACCGGTCCGCACAAACAAGCAAAGCTCCATCTGTGAGATTCAGGCAGCACACAAAACCACACACTCTTCAGTCTGTGGAAAAAACTTTCTCCACGGAACTGGTCCCTGGTGCCCAAAAGGTTGGGGACCTCTGGAATAAACCATTTAATACAGCTGAGGTTGTTTGAAGGAATCACACAGTACGTTGTTTGTGTTGCAATACAGCCTAAGACAGCTGTGTTCTCACCTGAATCCTGGTACGTTCAGTACTAGAACTAATCCTCAAATGGAATTAGAAGCAGCAACTTTGGTTAATGATTGTATTCATTGTAATGAGTTTACTTTAATGATGCTGTTTCGGAGCCGTTCGCAGAGGGCCATAGCTACTCCATTGCGCCCTGGTGTTGTGCCGTAGTACAGAAGCTTGTATCCTTCACCGATATTGCGAACCGTCACACCTTTCTACTTTGTTTCTTGGATGCAGGCAATGCCAACCGCTCGAGCGATTTGGCCAGCTCGCAGCCTCGACCAGTCAGTGTCCCAATATTGATTGTCACGAATTGGACGATTTGACCTTTCTTCCTTAGCCCGTCCTGGCCATGAGCAGGTAGCCCTTGTCCATTTGTCATTCTGGTTGGGTGGGGGCGGAGGTATGTTACCTGATGCCCCAGCTGCACCGGAGTGTTGTTTTGGGTTTGATGCGTAGTGATGCAACCTTGAAATCTCAGCCGATTTGTCCAGAGTCTGACAGCGATCCTCTTCCTTCCTCATCTTTCCCCCAAAGAGCACTGAACGAAAGAACACAAACTGTTGGTAATAAGAAATAAAGCCAACCATTCTAAAATGTCCACATTTCAATAAATGTTATTTTTTAAAATGGAATCTCAAAGGCAGCATGTTCCTAGGGCAGGGGTAGGCCACCTTGACTCTTTTATGACTCGTGGACTTCAACTCCCAGAATTCCTGAGCCAGCATGAGGGAAACTTTGGCCCCTTCATGACTTGTGGACTTCAACTCCCAGAATTCCTGAGCCAGCCATGCTGAGGGGAAAGGGAGAGGTTTCCGAGCTGAGCCATGCTGGCTCAGGAATTCTGGGAGTTGAAGTCCACGAGTCATAAAAGAGCCAAGGTTGCCTACCCCCTGTCCTAGGGCAACTGCCATTTATAAGTGTTTTTATAAACTGGCATGTCTTCACTTGCCACTTTCAATAAAACTGCAGGGGAGTCAGCTGTCCTTCTCTTGCAAGAGCATTTCAAAATTACGGTGCTGCCCCCATGGAGGCCCTGCACCTGTCTATTAGCATAACTACTATTACAACATCAACCAGAAC